TAATTTGGTTCTCGAAAAAGGCAGTCTGATACTAAAATCGCACCCAGTTCCGGCGGTGCGAACACGCCAAAAAGTGGGTAGTTCCACAATTAGTTCTGGTACTATGAAAAGGTTTCCGCGGTGCGAAAGGCCCTATTGTCTTGCCCCATTAAGAGGTGGCTGGCTGTTGTCCTATCATCCTTACCTGATACCGTTATACATTTATTTGCATTAATCTATCAAGAAATGTTTAAAAAAAACTGTCTCCACTGTTGCAGTCAGAGAGGAGCCTGCCATAAAACTGGAAGGGCCTAGAACACTGGCTCTCAGTTTCTCCTGGCGACCCCCTGCTCTGCACATCACGCATGTCTCCCTTATTTAACACACCTGCTTCAATCCATCAGTTTAAGAGAGAGATCCATGTACTGAACTGAGTCGGTGTATTCCAATTGGGATATATCGCCCTCCGAAGGGCACTTCGGAATGAAAACAATCATGGTCTCCATACTGAAGGGTCGTTCCAAACCGAAGTGCTCAAAACTGGCCACTTCAAAGTGCCCTTTGGAATTAAGGATTTCAAAGGGTACAACTGATGGATACTTCAGGCCCCCATGATCCTTTGCACAGATTCTTCGCACGATTAGGTCGCCTCAGTGTGGGCACTTGATGATGACGCAGAGGGGAACTTCAAGAAACAGTTGTTTGGTCCCTTACACCCTTCAACCCTTCAAAGCTCCCACTTCGGAGGGTAAACCCTTTGAAGGGATTAGGGCATAGGGATGAGCCCTTCCGAATGGAACGCAGGGAGTGTGTCAAATAACAGTGACATACAAAATGTGAAGAGCAGGGGGTTCCAAAGACTGTAACTGAGAACCACTGGCCTAGAATATGCTGTTCAGTACAATAAATTAACATGTTTATAAATACATTTTACAGGAACAGCAGGTTATTTCCTGCTAATTCATATGCTGTATAACCTAAATATTTATAAGCTGAAACAGATTTGGGGGGTATGAAGTTAACATAAAAAATTTGAAATTTACAACTGATTGTGTGTTATTAGTGTAGTCAGATTGGGTTTGTCTATAATTGTGAGCTAAATTAAGACAACATTTTACGAGTAATTGCAGAAATCCAGATATTTTCAACCTGGTCACAAACTTATTTACGACTGATAAAAAGATTAACAAACAGACAATGTTAGACAATGGGTATGTTTACATGGATATCAATAATCTAATTATTTACCTTATTCTGAATAAGACAATAGTATAATTAAGGTGTTTACATGAGTTGCTTTTAGAATATTTCTTTCATGTTCCCATTTTACATTTTATAGTACATAGATCGATTAATGGCACACGTCTTTACGTCCCCACGCAACACCATCCGACATTCCCTCCAGAATTTCACAAATCAACATACAGTTCATCTTCGTTATGGTACCATATGCCGTTTTGGGTGTTTCATTTTTAAATTTACGAAAGCTTCAATTGCAGTTAATTATTTGTCATGCTGTACATGCAAACAGACGACGGCGTTGTTGAAGCCATTCTTTTGTTTGCCGTCGGTTGACCACTGCTGTGTGTCTATCCTGTCACAAAATGCAACGAAAAGTCCTACATTATGGTAATAGTATGATTTTTAAAGATTTATTTTTTGGCGTTTTTTGCCTTTTATTGATAGGATAGTAATGAGACAGGAAGCGAAGTGGGAGAGAGGGGGGATGGGATCGGGACTTGAACACGGGACGCCAGAAGCGCAATGGTGCTACATGTTGACGCGCTGCCCACGAGGCTATCGGCGACGACATGGTAATAGTATGATTAAGGTGTGTACATGTCTATAATGCACTTCAATAATGCAACTAAAATAGGAATACTCCTCATGTCTTAATTCGATTTCTGTTTACTTCCGAGTATGACTTTAACCGGATTAAGGTAATCAAAAATCTGTTTACATGGTAGATTCGTAATCAGAGAATTGTATTAAACTTGTTATAATCGGAATATTGTTGTCCATGTAAACATACAGAGTGTTTAGCTACACAACTTGCAGCTCGAACCAGCTTCTGGATGTCACCAGATGAAACCACATATTCATATTCAAGTCTACATTTACATTTACATTTACAAGTCCAGATTGACAACATATCTGTCCATTCTCTGAATATGAATCATATAATCCAGTACAGTGTAAATTGTTTCATTCAGTTTGTCCATTTATATAGCATTTTCATTTACATTGTGCCATTTTACAGAAAGATGGAAGTTTATTAATCTATTTCTCTGATTCTGACATACTAATCTGAATCTAATATATGAGCAATGCCTCTATGCAATCAAAAAACAATTTCACATAGATACATATTTTATTGTGCAACTTAAAATGGTCAAGTCAGTTCTCACTCTTTTAAAAACTTTTTTACACACACACACAAGTTTGTTTCTGTAAATTGTGGGGACTTTCCATAGACTTCTATTACTTTTATACTGACCAAAACAATATTTTCTATCCCCTAACCCTAAACATACCCCTTAAAGAAAACCTGTTTGGATTGTTACACTTTCAGATAAACATAATTTACTATTTCTAATAATTTCCCCCCTTATGTCAAAAATTTCAGTACACACAAACACACACGGTCTCACATCTATGTAACTTGTATCTGTGAGTGTAATGGCAAAGTTTTAATTAAATGAATTTAAATAAATTAAATAATTAAATGATCATTCCTCCAGAGTTAATGTGCGGGTGATTTTTGAAATTGCTCATTTTCCTAAACCTCGTCCTACATTCAGGACCATTAAGATTTATTTCCAGAATGAGTTTGCAAATGATGTTTTAGGTCTCTCTTATATCTGAAACTCATTTTACACTGAAGACACATATAAGGTCTCTCTCCAGTATGAAGTCTCATGTGAACCTTTAGGTTTCCTTGAACTGTGAAAAATTTCCCACACTGCTGGCAGGAGAAAGGGCTCTCTTCATTATGAATTCTCATGTGGATTTTAAGGCTTCCTTTATGAGGGAAACTTTTTCCACAGTGATGGCACATAAAAGGCTTCTCTCCAGTGTGGGTCAATACATGATTCTTAAGGTTATTGCTGTCTGGGAAACTCATTCCACACTGATGACATATAAAACGGTTCTTTTTTAAGTGAACCCTCATGTGGCAGTCAAGGTTTACTTTACATCTGAAGCTCTTTCCACACTGACCACATACGAATGGCTTGTCTCCGGTGTGAATTCTCATGTGGGCAATAAGTGTTGCTTTATGTTTAAAACTCTTTGCACACTGAGGACATGCGTAAGGCCTCTCTCCGGTGTGAATTCTCATGTGGCTTTTTAGGATTCCTTTTTGGTTAAAACTTTTTCCACACTGTTGGCAGGCGAAAGGGTTCTCTCCGGTGTGAATTCTCATGTGGCTTTTAAGGGTTCCTTTTTGATTAAAACTTTTTCCACACTGTTGGCAGGCGAAAGAGCTCTCTCCAGTATGAATTCGCATATGAATTTTAAGGTTTCCTTTTTCAGTGAATCTTTTCCCACACTGTTGACAGGTGAAAGGCTTTTCTCCTGTGTGAATTCTCATGTGGACTTCAAGGTTTGCTTTTCCAGCGAAACTCTTTCCACACTGCTGGCAGGTGAAATTACTTCTAGTTCCTGTCTTTCGCGTTCTTTTTCGTGTGGAAACCTTTTTAGTCTGTGAGCAACTAAAAGATTTCTCTTCAGTCATGAAATCATAATGTTTCTCATCCAGATATTTCTCTTCCTTTACATCATTCAGTGCTTGACTCTCCTCTTTCAGCGGCATCAGGTCTACGGTGAAAAAAGACATTTTAATCCCAGTTTGTTTATTATTCTGTTTTAATTAGTAGCCAAGCACTGAAGGTGCTGTAGTCCCTTTTCTGAGTCTATAGTCGCCCTATGAACCGTACATAGGAAAATTATGAAATATGGCACAATTAAAGAGATAACCTTGTTTAGTAATCTGACCAACAGTTGTGACCATCATAAATTTAAAAAATGCACTTTTCTTTGAAAATAATTTTAAATACAACTCTGTCCTAGAAGCTTTTGGCACAAATGATTACTCTCCTTTTGCTGATCACATTCAATATCTTACATTTATGGCGCTTTTCCACTGCATGGTACGGTTCGGTATGGTTCACTTTAGGGGGTTTTCCACTGGGTACAGTACCTGGTACTTTTTTAGTACCACCTCGGTTGAGGTTCCAAGTGAACCGTACCGTTACCAAAACGTGACGTGTAAACTCTGCTGATCACGGATTGGCCGGAGAGAATCGTCACTAACTACGTCACTGAACTTGCGACACAAACACAACAGAACCGCTAGATTTAAATCAGCACAGCCAGCGAAGGATCGAACGCAACTGTTTTGAACGAGTGCACCTTTTTAAACAACCAAAAAGTGGCTGTTTCGTTGTCTGTTGAGGAAGTACAGACGTTCCTCTCGTTGATAGCAGAGGAGCGGATCCAGCGAGAGCTTGATGGGGCGACGCGGAATTAAAAAGTTTTTCAGGAGTCGCGGCAGTAGAGGCAGCGCAACTATAATGACATGTGAATAATCCCGCCCACTCTAAAGCGGTACTGAACTGCAGTGGAAACGCAAGCCGAGCCGTGCCGTACCATACTGAGCCGAGCCGTACCACGCAGTGGAAAAGCGCCATTAGACTTCACCCATTACAGTAGTCCCCATTTTTAAATGTACTGTATTAAATTTTTCTCTACTTTAAATTATGTCTGAATCTCTTGACAATTGGCAATTGGCTCAGATGATCACTGGACCAAACCACAGAAAAATTATTAAACTGAAGTTTGATTCTCAACTCTATTCAAAAGTTATGATAATGTGACTTTAACCATGTGGACCCAAATTTGGATGAAAAGCTCTATGTCTGTAACAGTTAAGTCAGGGGTATTTCCTCTGAGGAGGCAAGGGAGGTAGTGCCTCCTCTGAAAATTGGATAAGAAAACAATCCATAGTATAACACTAAAAGAACAAAAAGTCACTAAATGCATCCTCTGAGCTCACTGAGTTTTAACCAGTGGTGGGCCGTCAGGGTCAGCAGGGCCTTCTCTGCTGGCCCTATAAAAAATAAAATTGTGTGAAAATGTTTTTGATTAATTAGTTATCATTTTCCTTTGTGTAATGTTCACAAAGTTGCTAATGATTAGTTTCGTTGAGGTTGAACTGGAATATCCTAAATGAAAAAAAAAGGTCAGCGGCCAGCACTACAGATATGGCGCTTTTCCACTGCGTGGTACGACTGGGCTCGGCACGGCTCAGTACGGTACGGTACGGCACGGCTCGGTTTGCATTTCCACTGCAGTTCAGTACCGCTTTAGAGTGGGCAGGATTATTCACGTGTAATTTATAGTTGCGCCGCCTCTACTGCCGCGACTCCTGAAAAACTTTTTCATTCTGCCTCGCCCCATCAAGCTCTTGCTGGATCCGCTCCTCTGCTATCAACGAGAGGAACGTCTGTTCTTCCTCAACAGACAACGAAACAGCCACTTTTTGGTTGTTAAAAAGAAGGTGCTCTCGTTCAAAACAGTTGCGTTCGATCCTTCGCTGGCTGTGCTGATTTAAATCTAGCGGTTCTGTTGTGTTTGTGTCGCAAGTTCAGTGACGCAGGTAGTAACGATTCTCTCCGGCCAATCCGTGATCAGCAGAGTTTACACGTCACGTTTTGGTAACGGTACGGTTCACTTGGAACCTCAACCGAGGTGGTACTAAAAAAAGTACCAGGTACCGTAACAAGTTGAAAACCCCCCAAAAGTGAACCGTACCATGCAGTGGAAAAGCGCCAATAGTGCTACTCTTTTGTTCATAGGCGTCGCATCTGATTTGTAACGAGCATTAGTGACAGAATCATCAGCTAATCAAATTTTGACGTTCAATGACAGCACGCCCTCTGGGTCTAGTGGCGTGCCCAGTGCTACCCCCAGCGTTTAGTTGGGAATTTCTAAGATATGCAATTGAAATTTAACGAAAATAAAATGACGGCCACAGTCATCGGTGCCTACACCAGATCTTGTTGCCGATCTACTAAAACTCCTTTTTCAAGGTGCTCTTTTGCAGACAAAAGAGAAATAACTGAGAAAGGAAGACCTACACCTAAACTGAATTCGCAAACAAAGACCAGCGAAGGTTTTGTGCGCCATTTCAAAGATTTCAACTATGAATGCTATGAGTGGCTAACAGCTTGCACCGAGCACAAGAAGATATATTTTGTTTGTGAAGTGTTTTTGATTCTTGATTTATAAGGCTTTGAATACTGTTAGCTTCAATGTTCAATCTGCCTAGAAGTCATGTTTACAAGACACCGGTTTGATCGGTGTACCTCATTTCGAAGGCTGTGTCCTCCAGAGGTCACATTTTTGGTGGCATACATCGAGGCAATCTCATTCAAGAAAAGTAACCATTAGATTGCAAAGTAAAAAATAAATTACTGTATACTACATCTCACAAGGAATAACAGTGGATTTTATTATGGTGACTTTTTTATGGTTACTGCCTCAATGCCGTATGCAGCAGACAAATGTGACGTGACTTTTACTGATGTTCTGTAAAATAAAATAAAAAAGCAAGACAATAATAATTACCCTACAACAGCTCTATTAGTACATTTATTATAACATTCACACACACTGTTCAAATTGGGATCTGTAATATATTCTAATGTTTTAAAAGAATTCTCTTCTGCTCAGCAAGGCTGCCTTTATTTGTACAGTAAAAAATACATGCCTGATTCAAGTCTCAAAAATGGCCAAAAAATATTAGGCTATTTTACTAACTTATATATTTTAAAGGGTTAGTTCACCCAAAAATGAAAATTAGGCTGCGTTTTACACAACATCATATAGGTTCTGTACTGGAATTAGTCAAGTAGTTCATCTCTCGAGTCTTCAGGTTTTTCCGAGTCGTTCGTTCATCACGTGACAGCCCCATAAAAAAGTGGATACCTCACCTAGTGTATGAATGGGTTATTAATTCTATTTCACCTAAACTGTTACATTCGGTTAGGGATTGTTACAGATCGTCAAAATGTGAAATGCCAAAAATTTGTATTGGAGGTCTGGAGCTTTCTAATGTTAAATGTAACAATTTTTAGAAAAAAATTAGAAAAATCCTTATTAAGAAGTTTAGTTGTCATCCTAAAGCATTTTATAAGTGGAAAATAAATGACCCTTTACTTTCTACTATTAAAATATGGGCCGGCAATAACAAGTTTCTGTTACCTAACAAGATGAAAGAACTTTACTATAAGATTCTTCATATGTACTATCCTGTAATTCTTTACTCTCAAAATTTAAGCTGGACATCTCTTCACAATGCACATTCTGTCATTCTAATTTGGAAACAATATCACACTTATTTTTT